ATTCTGTTGGTGCAGATGAATTCTCCCAGGTTTACAGGGAGCAGAAGGGCTACGTGGCCAGTGTGGGGAGAGAAGCAACTGTGGAGCAGCTGTTCAAGAGCTGTCAAAGGATGCAGGCCAGGATGGCCACACCTGTGAACAGGGCTAGAAGAAGAGGAAGAAAAAAAGGATCCAGACATGGTGATACATGTGTGCAATCTTGGCACTTGGGAAGAGATGGGAGGATTGTGAGTTCAAGGCCAGCCTGGGATACCTCTCGCGGGAGGAAGAGCCAAGGATCAATTCTTGGTTCTTTCCTGTGCTACCAAGGAATTTGGAGAAGTCACTAAACTTTGTATTTGAAGTTGGCTTTCAAGGCCAAAAAGGAATATTTTGTGGAATGGTTTGTTAGTGTGACTCTCAAGTTTTAGATATTTGAGGTACACAGATTCTGTTTGAATTCTCGCCCGGGCCCTGTAAACGTGAGGTCCTGGTGGAGAAGGTGGCAGTGATACTGGGTACCAATGGTAGTGATGATTTGTGGTCTCAACAAATGTTTATTGAGCACCTATGATAGGTCCCTTCAAGCCACTCCCACTGCCCTTAATTTCACTGCTATTGCCATGTTTCCCTCTTGTATATTGTGTGTTGAGCAGAGCAAGTTCTATTATGGAAGAATACAATATTTGGGCAACAGGAAGGACTAGGGGAGTGCCTTAGTTATTACATCGCTGTGAAGAGACCATGTCCAGGGTAGCTCTCATAAAAGAAAACATTTAATTGGGGGCTTGCTTACAGTTTCAGAGGGTTAGTACATGATCATCATGGCATCATCATGGCAGGAAGCATCTTGCTGGCAGACAAGCAGACATGGGGCAGAAAGAGAGAGAGAGAGAGAGAGAGAGAGAGAGAGAGAGAGAGAGAGAGAAGACGGCCAAGCATGGACTTTTGAAACCTCAAAATCCACTCCCACTTGTACTAAAATAAGGCCACATCTCTTAATTCTTCCCAAACAGTTCCCAATACCTGAGAACCAAGTATTCGTGTATTTGAGCCCATGGGGGCCATTCTCATTCAAATCACCACTTTCCACTCCCTGGCCCAGCAGACTTGTAGCCTGGACCGTGGGGTGCTGTTGGGAGGACAAGCAAGGAGATTCTGTTGAAGAGGAAGCAGAAGACATCAAGAAGAGTCGTGACGGAGAGCTTTGGTGTTTCCCAAGGGTTGTGGGAAGTCCTGGAAAGACAACTTTAATGGGGGCAGGACTTTCTTGCAGGGATGAAGTAGGAAGGGAAAGCTGGTGGGAGGGAGCTGTGAGCAGGTTGTAATAACCTGAATCTTCAGTCACATCCTCTGAGTGGGTTCATTGCTGTTTGACCTCAGGCGTGTTGTGTGTTCTGCGATAGAATGGAATCAATCAGTGAGCCTGAGAGTGAAATTGGATCCACGTGGTCATTACACCAGCACAGAGCAGAGGTCCAGACCCAAGGTTTCTTTCTAGAAAGCTTCCCTGTGCAGAGAAGGGCATTCACGCAGAGACCCACACAGCCCCGGCCAGCCTCGGCTACACCTGATAGCAATTCCCAGTTTTCTCCTGTCTCCCATACAAGACTCTGAGAAGTCAGGCAGGGGTGCTTTCCAGACACCAGGCTGAGGCAAGGTGAGTTCAGAGCCAGTCCTAGAGAGAAAGTCATTGTACCAGCGTGGCCCCAGGCTTTCCCTCACTTTAAAGGCAGCTTCAAGCTATAGACCACATCCTGATTCTCAGAAAGGCTGTCATTTCCCAGAACCCAGTATTCCCTGAAGGGATTGGGAGGGGTGGTGTCAGCAGCTCCAGGAGAAAGAGCAGGAGGAACCAGCCTTAAGAAACCTGGAGGCATCACAGTGAATGAACCAGCTGGGAGGGAACCTGGAAAAGTGAAATGTAGGCTCTGAGCTCAGTTCTGCTGGGCACTCTGGTGCTTTGAGGTCCACACGACCACAGTATCATCGACCCCAGTTGGAATCCGCTCTCCTTCTTTTATTCCCAATTTCATCATTCATTTCATGGGACTTCGTTTCCTCCTCTGTGAGACATGAGTAGTAATCCCCACCTCACTGGGGTCTTCTGAGGAGCAGAGAAGATGATGGATTTGAATATACTAGGATGGTGGAGTGGGTATGACTGACCTCAGGCAGGACAGTAGATCCCTGGGATCCCCTGTGGGAGCCCCAGTTCCTTCTTCCTCAGCAGCCTCATGTGAGAGGAGTCAGGGTACCACAGTGGGTTTTTAGCCAAAAAAGATGATCATCTTTGAATATCCATCTCTCCATCCTCAGATCTCCTTTCTTCTCTTTTACCCCTTCCTGGGATCTTCTCATTACCGAGACTGGCTGGGTTCCCTCCCCTCCGAAAGTGCCTTCCATCCCATATACACAGCCAGCCGCTCTCCCCCTCTCTTCTTACTTCTAAATTTGTTAAAAGTCTGTTTCCTCACTTTCCAGACACCACCTCAGGTCCCCCAAACTCAGCTTCTGCTTCTCAACCAACACAAATGGTTGTCGTATCACAAGGTTGTCCTTGGCTCTTCAGAGGCTCTTTCAAGACCTCACCTATTCAACCACTTTGTGGTGAATCTCTTGCCTTCTCTCTGGTCTCCCCAACCATTCCCTTGCGAGATGCTCTATGTTCTACAATCTCTCCCAGGCCAGGGTTCCTCCCCTCCTGGCTTTGGTCACCATCTATAAGTCAACAGCTCCCAGCTTCTATATCTAGCCCAGCCTTCTTCTGGTAACCCATAATATACCAATAATGCTATGGTTATCTCCTCAGATGCCAGGTGTGTGTGTGTGCTCACGTGCGCACATGTGTGCACGCGAGCATGTGTGTACATAGTCTCCTAGAAGCTATCTGGTGAGATTCCTCCCTCTCTCTCAACATCCCCCACCCCTAGTCAGTCCACCCTGCCTTCCCCGTGGCCTCCCTCCTCCCCAAGCCTCTCGTGAACATTCTCTACACTGTTCCTCCCTGGCTTCAGCCCAGCTCTGCCAGGTCATTCTTCTGCAGCAGGTAGAGCAGCCTCTAAATCACAGAGTCTCTTGGGGTGAAGCCAGAGCCTCTCGGCTGGAAGACAGCCTCACCTCCGTCTGCTCACTGCCCAACACTGTCCAGCATGGGTGAATGATCGTGATTCTCCTTGTCATCTGCTTCTCTCATCTGTAGAGTTTTCTGCTCCTACATCATTACCCATCCTTCCCTCTCCCTCCCTCCACTATTTCTCCACCTCTTCCCCATCCTTCAGAGCCTGGGTAAGTATCCTCAGATGGGGTTGGGGACTGTGTCCCCCAAAGTCCTGCCTTCACCTCTGTCATTTCTCAGATATCATGATGTCACCTCTTCACCTCATTGTTGTTGATCTCTTCCTCCAGATTTGGGAAGGGTAACATCAATCATTTCCTTGGCTCCGTGTCATTGGTCTAATGTAAGGCTTACCCTGGAGTGGCTCAGAGAGCTTGTGAAATCATGGGGCAGTTTGGTGTTGCTCAAAATGAGCGTTTGCTCAAATAGAAAGGTCTGGACTGAAGCAAGGAGGGGGGGTGTATAAACCGTGTGCCCCCCCCCATGGGAAAGCAGGCTTAGGGCACACATCACAGGCTTCACATAAGCCTACCAAAGAAATCGGGGAGACAGCTCGTCCTGCCACATCAGGAAGAGTACACCAGGGTCCGGAAACCTAGGACTACAAAGTCCACCTACAGCCTAGTAATGGGGAAGAGGGATAGGGGTGGGGCAAGGGGCAAGGGTGGAGTATTGAGGAAAGCTTTGCTGAAGGGACATCTTCAGCAAAGACTTCTGGGAAGATGATCAGAGCCCACACTATAAATGGCTGGGCTATTAGGTTTCCGAATTGCTCAGAACCTACCCCTAGAATTGCCAAATTAAGTCCCTGTAGTGAGCAAGCAAGCCTAAATTAAGCCTATTCATTAGAAGGTACAGGTTTTTCTAACCTCAGACTCTCCAGCCTGTCCTCCCAGAGCTGGCAATGGAAGCTTAAAAAAGGTGATTCCCAGTCAAGGTGGCATTGGTGTCTCCCAGATCTTGGGGACAGTGTGGTAGAAACCGAGGCTGTGGAGATGGCTGGGTGGGTTCTCTAGGTGGCCGCACACAGATCCAGTTAACAGGCCTCTGTACACTATCTCTTCACTGCCTTTAACTTGACCTGGATAGGGAGAATGGGGAGCTGGGGCTGTGGATGGCTCAGCCTGGCTATCCTGAGCATTTCTGCAGGGTGGCAGAGAACCTGAGTTCAGGTTCTGCCTCGTTACTCATCCCTGTGAGGTTCTGGGGGCAGATTGCCTTCCTCGAGCCTCGGAGGCCTCTCCAGAGTCACGGGGGCGAGAGCGGTAAATCCTACGTTGTTTGACGTAAATGAAGTCACAGGCCATAAAGCATATCTGACACCGCAAGCACTTGCACACGTGGGTAGGATAAACGGTTGATTTGTCTTTCACTGTATGGGTTAGGCCTTCCCAGACAACGGGCCAACTTGGCAATCTGACTGCAGTCTTGGATCCCTTTGGAGGTGAGGCCGTTCATGTGGCCGCAAGAATGGGGAGAGAATGCTAGCCTGGAGTCCAAGTCCTGGCTTCCAGTTCTGGGACCGCTACTAACCCCCTCTGTGCCTCCAGGTATGTTAGCTCCAGCTTTCCTCAAAACCCGGATTCCCTGAAGTAGGGCTGGCTGGCCACAGGAAGGCCCCAGGCCCCGGGGAAGGACTTTGAGGCTGTGATCACCACCACTTGGCTAACTTAGTTCCTCTCCTTGGGCTCAGCACCACGTAGCTGCTGAAGGGGTGGAGGTGCTACCTGTAAAAACAGCCTGCTGGGGGCCTTAGGAGTAAGGGTGCAAGGAGGCTGCAAGACCTATTCATGTTGCTGACCGAAAGCTGCAAGCCCTCTGTGCACCTTCTAAATTCAAGATGAAGGCCTCGATCTGCCTAGAAGGTTCCCTGGAAATGGGCGGTGAAGTCAACAGGCAAGGCTAGAGAGTAATGCAACCTCTTTATTAATATACAATAACAGAAACAATAAATCTCATATCTGCAACTGTTTGGGTCCTGGTTATAATGTCTTAGTCACTTTGTCTGGGCTGGCTGTGACTTTCAGCTCTGGAGTCTGGGCTAGGAAGATGGTCCAGTAACCTGCAAGAAGAGAGGTAGAAGAGACAAGGGGTGTGTGTGACCATGTTCGCTCACAAGCATGTGTACATCAGTGACAGCAACTGGGATTTTAATGCCTGGGGCAGAAAAGACTGTGTGGGCTAGGGTTTGGGACCCACTGGTGGAAGGGTAAGGTCCCCATCTTGCAGTCGTATGACTCAACCTTCAGACACCCTGCATTTAAGGGCTGGGTTTCCTAACTCCATTACTCAGGGTAATGTTTTACCTATTACCTGACCTGATACTCCCCCTTCTCCAAAAACCCCATCTAGGTCCGTCTTCTTGAAGTAATGTAGAGCAAATTAGAGAGTCAGGAAAAGTGGTTAGAAGGACCCTTCGTTGGGAAGTGAAAGCCTTCCTAATGCAGACCCTTTAATACATCCCTCATGTTGCAGTGACCCACAACCATAAAATTATTTCGTTACTATTTCATAGCTGTAGTTTTGCCGCTGTTTTGAATGGTAATGTAAATACCTGATATGTGACCGACCCCCAAGGGAGGGTGACCCACAGGTTAAGAACCACTGGCCTCAAAGCTTGGGAAGCACCAAGGCTTGGGGGATCAGACCTGACCCTACTGGGCCAAGACAAGGCCAGCTGCTTAAGCTCACCTTCTCTCTCTCATTTAGGGATTGAGAAATCTCTGGCCCAGACACCCACTGGATTCTTGTTCTGGGAACTGACGTCTGTGGCTGACAGCCGCCCCCCCTTCCTCCCGACACTAGCATCCTGGGAACTCCCCAAGAGGTCCTGCTTTGTCACTGCTCCCCTCCTTGGCCCAGTTCCTAGACCAAGGTCCTACCTTCATGGGTGCCAGTGAGCAACCGGAAGTTCTGGGCTTCTTTCTGGAAATCTTGCTTCCTGACTCTCTTGATTTGAACCAAGTGGAAGATTCCTGTGGGCAGACAAGGCATGAGCTAGGAAGATCGAATGGGGTGACAGCTTACAACTCACCCTGCCACCTCCCTCCCTGCTTCTAGTCTGACCAGATACCAAGTCACAAGTCACGTGGAATAAAGCTGCAGGGTCCCTGTCCTCCTGCCCCAACTGCCCCTCCACACGAGTGCCCTAGCCCCTTTTAACTGGCAATCCCAATGGAGACCATTTGAAATATGCTGGCGTCTGACCGCCTGTCACCACCACAATAACTAAAGCATGTATCCTTTCGCCTCTTTTCTCTGCTGCTGTTCCTGCCACCATCCACAGGCCTGCCCACAGTGAAGGGAGCGAGGGGGAGGGGAAGGGAGGGGAAGGGAAAAGGGAGGAATGAGAGAGACAGTAAGAAAAGGTTGACCATGTGGACCAGTTAAGCCTTCCTCTAGCATACAGCGTATGATAAAAATCCATAGCTGTGTTCATTCAGACGTCACAGAACATGGAGCTATCGTGTCGTGAGTGTGGCCCAGTCCTAGCAAATACTTGAGGTCCTAGGAGGAAACCGAGCCTCTGCAAATTCCAGTCCTTTTGCTATTGCTTTCTACATCCACTGTGCACAGCAAGTGAAGCACCCGTCTACCAGGTCTTAGTGGGAAGGTTTCCCTGAGCCTCCGTGAAGGGGATTTTAGCCTCCTCTATGCAGGACCTACCACACTTGGGTTCTGTTTATCATTTTACCCATTTCTTTTCAAAGGTGTATATATGGGGTAGGGGGATGTGTGTATACATGTATGTACATGAACGTGGAAGACAGACAACAGACAACCTTGGGTACCATCCTCAGTAACGTTGCCATCATCCTTTGGCGACAGGGTCTTTCATTGGCCTGGAGTTCACCAGGTAGGCTAGTGGGGCTGGGATCTCCTGTCTCCACTTTCCTAGTGTTGTGATTACAAGTGTGTGCCATTACACCTGGTATTTTTACACGCCTTCTGGGGACCGAACTCAGGTTCTCACGCTTTTAAAGCAAGCACTTTACTAACTGAGTTGTCTTCCCAGACCAATCCCACCCATTTCTATGACGCTGTCATTATGCCTATTCCTACCTTCTCTCTCAGACTTGGAATTCTTGAGAACTTAACTCTCTGGGTTCTAAGCATGAAACACGTAGGATATATTATTCCTTGGATAGAAGGATGGATGGGTAAAAGTATGCATGGCTATGTGTATGTATGAATGAACAGGTGGCCAGGAGAATGAATGAATGGATAGATGGGTAGATGGATGTGGGGTAGGTGGATGGATGGGTGGGTGTGTGCATGTATATGTGTATGTATAAATGGGTGGATGGATGGATGGATGGATAAATGGTGTGGGGTAGAGATGAATAGATGGATAGAAAGATGGGTAGGTAGATGGAAAGATGTGAGGGTGGATGTATAGACAGGTGTAGGGTGAATAGATGAGTGTGGTGGATGGATAAGTAGATGGGTAGGCAAATATATATGTATCTAGTCTAGTGAGGCCCCTGGAGGAATGAGGTATTAATCGAATCATCTGGTATTTTCACTTCATGGGAAGCTATGCCCGACACCATACATGGCACTGAAGTCCTAAGCGCATGGGTTGTGAGGTGGCACCGGCTGTCACCCAGAGAGAAGAAATGCATCCAGCAAGGCCTCAGCTAGGCCAAGAACCAGATCTGTACCCAGGGATCAGAGGGTGATGTGAGAGAATTGTCTGTATTCTGTCAATCATATTTTAATAAAACGCTGATTGGCCAGGCAGGCAATATAGGCGGGAAAGCCAGACAGGAAGTAGGGGTGGAGCAAAGAGACTGGGAGTATTCTGGGAAAACAGGACGCTCCCTCCACTCCTGCACAGACCACCGAAGAGGCAACATGTAAGCTGCCCCCGCTGGAAAAGGTACTGAGCCATTATGGCTAACATAGATGAGAATAATGGGTTAATATAAGTTATAAGAGTTAACAAGAAGCCTGACCTAATGAGCCAATCAGTTTATAACCTGATGTAGACTCCGTGTGATTTTCCTTGGGACTTGCTGGCTTGTTGGGGTACTGGGCGGGACAGAAACCCCAACGAGCTGGCCCTCATGTTATAAGAGGGGAACCCCATGAAGGGGAATGGAAAACTCAGACATGGAGCCTGCATTTCAGGAACTGGGAAATAGCCCAGCACTATCCTTGGAGCTCTGGCTTAGATGCCAAGATATAGCAAATAGCTCCAAAGGCCCAGGGACTATATGTGTGGCAAGAAAGAACTTCTGTGGGAAGAGGATGGGCCCTCCTGCATTGCTCACCAGCACACAGAAAAAAACATGGGAGGAGAGACGGGCGTAACAGATGGGAGGGATCCCTCCACCATGGTCTGTAGGGCATATGGAGAGGAAGATGCTTAGGGGTCTGAGGTCTTGAATGTGCCTCTTGCCTTTTGGAAAGGCCATGCCACGTCTGAGCACAGATGAGCTCGTGGCCCCCTAGGCGGAGCTGGTTCTGCTGAGTTCCAGGCACTAGGCCAGTCCAGATCACAGTGCAGCCAAACTTCTCTGGACCAAGTTGTTCTGGGTTGAGATAGAGGCACCTGCACGGGGGTGGGGCAGGGACCAGGGACCATCAGGAGGTTCGGGGAAGTTCTTTGAGGCCCCTGAAGTCTACCCTACCAGGAAAGTCCAGACTCTCACAGGCTCTTAGCCCTGGACTGGTCCCAGACGGAGTGGCCTTGCAGCACGTTCAGTGGCCACTGTTCCCTTGTTTCCATCCCTCCGAGGGAGGAAACTGCAGTCCTGATATAGAGTCCTCGGTGGGACCGTCTGGGGCAGGGAGGAAATTGTGGAACATTTAGGTGACCCAGGGGGTCAGGAAATGGGGAGCACTGCCAGGGATAGGACAGTAGGGTCTACCATGGTAGAACTGAAGCAGCCCCCTCATTTCTTTAATGCTGGGTCTGGTGATGATGAGACGGGAAGTCAGTCCCCTCTCCATCTTCTCTGTGTCATCCTGGCCCTTCCTGGTCTTTCTCAGGCACGCCCCTCAGTCTTTGGCAAGGCCATGTTGTCTTCTGGACCAAGTCTGCCCTTCCTTCCTTTGACTGGGTCTACGTAGCCCAAGCTGTCTTCAGATTCTCCATGTATCTGACAGTGGCCTTGAAAGTCTGATTTCACTTCTGGTGTCTGCCACCGTGTCTGGTTCATACTGCGCTAGGAATTGAACTCAGGGCTTCCTGTGTCCAAGGCGAGCATTCTGGCAACTAAGCTACACCCTAGTCTTCCAGACTTAGTTTTCTTACCTACAAAATGGGGCCTGAGTACATAGCTACACTCCAGTCTCCTACAAAATGGGGCCCGAAGGTGCTTATATACCGTGAAGGTGTTTGTGAGGATTAAATGGGGTACTTTGCACATGGTGTCTGTTGCATGCAGATCACAGAGCACAGGGCTGCTGCCCTCCTACTTGCAAAGTCTCTGTGGCCTCTCCAAGGCCCCCTGCTTCCCTCCGTTGCAAAGGTCTACCCTGTAGGAAGCCTTTCTATGAGCAACTGTTGCAAGGATAGGGGCTTACTGCTTTCTGCCGTCCCAGCACCTGCTGTGTGGTTGGTCTGAGAGCTAGCTGTAGCCAGCACCAGTCTGTGAAACGGTGTGATCTGTGTGAAACGTGTGACAACGTTGTGTGTCAGAACAACGGCAAGAGTTCCTGCTTCTGCCTCTCCTGTGGTCAGCTCCACACCTTCCTCTCACCATAGAAAGGCTGTGAGGATGAGCAGGTGCCTCCTCTTACTAAACAGAAGCCCACCTGTCTGCCATTCTAACCAGCCGGTGTGGTAGGAGGAGATGGATATTTTTGCCACATTCCATAGGTCAGGGATTATCCCAAAGCTCCTTTCCCTGGTTCACAGAAGAGAGCACTGAGGTCCAGAGAGGCTAAGTGGCTGCCTGAGGTCATTGAGAAGAGGCAGGATTTGAAGTAGCAGAGGTGAGATTTGAACCCAGGTCTGCCTGGTTGCGTGGCCTCTGTTTGTGGTCTGACCTCTGCAGTCATTCAGAGAAAAGCTGTTTCCTCTGACAGGGCAGCCTGCATCTTCTTTTCTTCAGGCTTTGGATCATGGTTCAACGCTTCAATCTCACCATGTAGAGTCTATGATTTTAAGGTCGACTCCTCAAAGGGTGCATTAACCCTCCATGACCAGGAGAGGGAGCGTTCAGAGACATTGGCGAGCTTATCAGAGCTATCAGAAATTGCAGAGGAGCAGAAATGGGAATGAAATTAGGGGTTCTTATTCCTGGAAGGATGCTGAGGCATCTGATCAGGAAAACCTCCTTAAGGCCCTTGTCGGTTCTGAGAGCAGGAAGGTACCAGAGGAATGCGAAGCTGGGAGTAGGAGCTGGCCACTCACCTTTCACTAGCTTCCAAATGTAGGTCTCCACCTGGTCAGAGGCTTCATGCTCCAGTACAAAGCGGTGCAGACCATCTGGGCTTGGAGAGACCAACGTGTACACAGACACCTGGCCTGGCACTTTGGGACACTTGGTGGAAATGACCTCACTGTGGTCGGCATCTGCCTCATCTTCTGAAAGAGAAAAAAAAAATATGATGTATTCAACCAACACTGACTATTCTCAAAATGTCCCATGTTCTAATACTTCATGGCTTCAAAGAATGCAAAACATCATTTGACCTCACGTCTATGTCAAGAACCTCTGAGGTTCCCACTGACATGCTAGGTGGTTCCATGTAGCCTGGTATTTTCTGTGTCTGTGCTTCTAACAGTCTGTGCACCTGTAAACTCCTCCTCCATGGCTAAATGTCAGCATTCCAGGCCCCAGGGCTCCCAATACCTATGACCAGTGCCTCCCTGCCTTCAGCACCCCTCCTACCTGGGCAGATCTTGCAGCACTTCCCAGCCACCTTCTTGGGTTGACTGCAGGGATATTGGGTGGGGCAGGTCACACGATGGCAGGCCTGGTCGCCATCCACACAGGTGCACAGGATGCAGGGCATGGGGCCGAAGGAGAGCACAGTAGGGTGCCACACCTCCCCGTGGGAGTATGTCTTCCCGTTGTGGGTGCAGGCTGGAACATGGAGAGCAGGGAGGAGGCAGGGAGGGTGAGTGCCTCAGGTTGGCCCAGAGTCTCTAGCCCAAAAAGTAGAGGGTGCCAAGAACACACCAGCTGCATTGCCTGCAAAATGCTGGCCAGGGAACAAAACCTGTACCAACCCTGCATCCCTCAGGGTTTACTGAGGATGGAGAGCCCTCCCCTGGCCTCTGAGGTTCTTCTGGTGGAGAAAGGAGAATGCTGGTCTGGCAATCGGAGAGCTGGAGAGCTGAGGACAACTCTCACACCAGGTGACGGGCACTCTAGCAGGTCTACTTCCCCTCCCTGTCGGGACTCTGTAGCCCCATGACTCATCCCTCTCTACCAGCCTGGGAGGCCCACTGGGAACCCCTGTTCTCTCCTTCTGCAACCAGTGTGCCTTCCCTGTCCCCACTGTCACCCTGCAGACCAGTTCTGCCCCTCCTTCATTTGGCAGTCTTGTCTTCAGCCCTGTGTCACGGTAATTTATTCACGTGTCTTCCCAGCTAGTCTGGGAGCTCACTGGGGCAGAGACTGGGACAGACTCTGTTCTGTCTCCTCCACTTCTCAATAAAAACATAATAGATGCCCAGTAAAATACTATTACTTAGGAAGCTGAGATGGAAGGGTCTGAGGTTCAAGGCGAGTCTGAACTACGTAGTGAGAAACCCCCATCCCCCACGGAATCCAGAAATTGGGCACCTCAGTGTCCTCATCTGCCAAATGGGAGTTAGGATCCATGATCTTCAAGGGTACATTTAGTTGTGTTTGGTTTTGAGTTTAAGCTCACAGTCAGATTGAGATTGGAGAACCAGGGTAGGGGGTGCAGGAAGTGGGAGTCCCCACCCCATCAGCACATGGGAGGAGGGTCCTATCCTCACCTTTCTTATGCTTCTCCTTCAGAATAATCTTGACAGTGGTGCTGCCCGTTCCCATGGGTCGGAAGTAGCGAGGGATGAAGCCCAGAGGGAAACTGAGGCTGGTAGGTGCTGGAGTGCTGGGGACTCTCCTCTTTCCATCCTCCGAGCCAGGATCCTGTCTCTGCAACCAGCAGGCAGGGTGTCTGAGTAGGATGTGCCACAGTTGGGGCCACAGACTAGGCTGCATTGAAAGATCTGCTAGTGGAGATGAGAGGACTTTCCAGAGAGAGAGGGAGGCAGAGGGAGAGGGAGAGAGAGAGAGAGAGGAAGGGAGGGAGGGGGATAGGGAGAGGAAAGGAGAGGGAAAGGGAAAGGGCTGTGGTTCACTCTCCCTTCTCAGACCTCAGAGAGCTGGGAAGGCTGGGCCATCGGAATTCTAGGCAAGATTGACAGGAGCCAGGATTGAGGTGAGAGCAGAAAAACAGATCCCTGGCAAAGGAACTGCATCCCAGAAATGAGGCACAGAAGCATGGATCGAGCCAGAGGCCATTCCTTAGGGGCTTGGGTTAATCAGACACACACAGGCTGTAGATAGAGTAGTGTCCGCGAGATTCCCCAGAGGCAAACAAGGGAGCCTGGGGTTGACCCTGCCTTGTGTGGCAAGCTGTTCCCTTATGGTCCGTCAGCCGTAATGGGGACCCTGTTGACGGTAGAGGGAGAGGCTGGAAGATGGAGGTGCCAGTGTAGCTGGCCCAGAGTGAAGCTCTCAGGCCTTGGAGTTAGGGTGGGCAGAGGGATACGGGATCAGGAATAGATAAAGTGCAAAGCATAAGAAAAGCCAGTGCTGGAGGTTCCCGCAGGATTTTGGCCTGAGATTGCAGCATCTCTCTCCACCAAGTCGGCAGAGTTGTGTGCACACTTACCTCTCCGGGCTGCAACTGTACCAAGTCTTCTTCAGTGGAGCTCTCGCTTGTCCTGTCTGCAAAGGAAACAGGGTCACCCTGGTGGCCATGGCACCGAAGCCTCCGCCTATAGCTCTGCCCTCCTAAAAGCCACAAGTTACCTTAAGGGACCCAAATGTCTCTAAGTGGCTTGTCTTTGTCATTACTGAGTTATCAAACATCTCCACAGCCAGGATGCTTGCTCAGTTCCCCAACACTGACCGAGTCACTCCAGGGACCCAACTGCTCAGCTATGTCAGAGCATCTTACATAGTCTACTTAAAAGCCACCCCTCAGCCAGGCTGTAGTGGCGCACACCTTTAATCCCAGCACTCGGGAGGCAGAGGCAAGCAGATCTCTGTGAGTTTGAGGCCAGCCTGGTCTACAAGAGCTAGTTCCAGAACAGGTACCAAAGCTACAGAGAAACGTCTTGGAAAAAACAAAAACAAAAAACATAAAAGCCACCCCTCTGGGACACTGGTCATCCCTTTGTGAATGGTCCCAAGGTTCCAGAATTCCATGTCTACAACCAGAATTTTCACAACACACTTCCAGGGCTCTACTGTCTAGTCCCTCTGCCACCAGGGGAACCCTGAGGCCATTTCTAGTTGCTTCATTCACTATACCCGTGATCTGGTCTGTCTTGAATGTTCCTGCTTCAGAGAGGCAGGCAGTAGAATCAGGCTGCCTGTTAGAGTGGCTCAGCCAGCCTCCCTGCTCACCTCCCAGCTGACATGGAGTAAGGATGACTACACAGAACTACGCCTTCCCAAACCCCAGTCCACATGGACAGTCCAATTGTACACCTCTGCTCAAGCCCAGTCTGCTCTTCAGGAGCGAGTCCAATCCTGTGGCCTCTGAGCTCATCCGCTCCCGGCTACTACTTCGTGCCTTTTAGCCTTGTTGTGGGGACAGGACCCCATCACAACAGGCTCTGCGGTGGTACCACTTCTGCCCCCAGCAGTCAGTTGTCCACAGCTTTGCCCTAGCAGTGACTCCAATCCATGCTCCTCCCCGACTGCCTGCTCCTCCCAGGGCTGTCCATCACCCACGCTGCAGAAGTAAGGGGCTTTAATGAGGGCTATCGATGTGAGCATTGGCTGATGGGAGTTGACAAGGCGGGAGAATAAACTTTTCCCTCTGCTTCTCTCACCCCCAGACTTTTACTTTGCCTTGCCAGTGCTTCCTGGTACTGAAGTGACCGAATAGGCACAGCACAGCCTTACCCATGGGTCCCGCTTTCTGGGACATCCATTTCAAGCCATCCTCCCTATAGGATGGGAGTGTCTACTTCCTACTGGCTGTCCCTGTCTCGTCCTGCAGGTCCACAAAGGGGATGATGCGGGACCCTGGCAGACTTCAGAGTCACAGTTCCAGTTAAACTCAATTGCTGGGATTAAGCATTCTCACCAAAAGCAATTTAGGGAAAGAAAGGGCTTATATCAGTTTATAAGTTACAGCGCTTCAGCGAGGGAAATCAATACAGGAGCTCAAGTGGGAAGTGGAAGGGGAAACCGTGGAAGAACACCACTTGCTGGCTTGCTTGACTTAGCTTAGCCCATAGTGGGCTGGCCCTCCCACATCAATTAACAAGACAATTTCCCGTAGATACCCCACCAGTCTGATCTAGGCAATCCTTTGGTTAAAGCTTTCCTCCTTAAGGGCTGTAGGCTGTATCAAGTTGACAAAGCTCACTGTGACACTCACCTTTGCGGGTCTGACAGCAGGAGTCAGGCAGAGGGAGTGGGGTGGGGCAGCCAGGTTCAGGGCAGGTCATGAGACCGCAGTAGATGCGTCCTTCCTGACAGACAGAACACACCAGACTGGGAATGAACTCTGTTGAAGAGCAACCTTGGGGCCCAGGAGAGCCTCTTTCCCTAGGAACAAACAGCCTTGAGGTCACCCCTGAGGCAGAGGATGGAGGGAAGTGGCATTTGGTTCCTGAGTAAGGTAAGTCAGCTCAGGTGTTTCCCCTTGACCTCCTTTTCCCTCTCCAAGCCCTGAAAAGAACTTCACCGCCAATATTCCCTCAGCTCTCACAGCTACCTGTGAGATGGGCTTTAAGGTGAGGGGGGGACCCGGGATAGAGGGGGGAACCGTGTCATCCAATCAAAGAGAAAGTTAGGGTAGAAGGAAGAAGAGCCCAGGCTTCGGGCTTTCCCTACTGAAATTGATATTTTTCTCCTGTACCTGCATCAGGGACCCAGCAAAGGGAAGGACTACATGGGTGACTCCTAGGCTTATAACAGTCCTGATGAAAACCATTGGCTTTGAACTTCAAGACCCACTCTCCAAGGTGAGACTCCAGGATGCAGGAGCCTCAAGGAGGCAAGAGGCTGGGCACCTTTGGAGAGGTCTTTTCTCCTGAGTTTCACCTTCTGTGAAAGGCAGTGAGCACACACTCATTCTGGTTGTGAAGGTCAGCTGTGAGTGTGACTGGGAAAAGCTGCTGTAAGTCCCTGTGTTCCTGTAGTCTGAGAAGTAAGGATCCTGCCCCAGAGCGGAGGAAGAACACGGACTTTGGGAGTCAGAGAGGTCTGGGTCTGGATTTTGACCGTGTTGACCATGCAGCCATAAGCAATCTATTTTACTGTTCCGAGTTCTTGTTGCTTATCTGAACAGGATGTACTAAGTTAGACTTGGTTTATGGTTGGTATCCTGTCTGTGGTGAACAGATGTTCATCCACGTCTCTCCAGGAAAAGTCACACAAGGCCAGGACCGAGCTGAGTTCCTGCATAGCTCACTGACGCCTCATCTAGAAAGAGGCTAAAGATCACCTCAGCAGACTCCCTGAAGGAGTCAGGAGAGGTTTGGTAATAGGAAGTAAGGAGAAAGGGAAGCCAAGCCTGGAGTTGGGGTGGCAGCATGTGTGGCAGGAAGAGAGCGGCAGGACTCTCCCACTCAGTCAGGACATGCTTGGCTTGATCTGTCCCCCAATTACAGGGCTGTCAACCCTGCTGTCCCTAGGCCTAACATGGGCAGGGAGAGCCTAGCACTTCAGCCTAAACCCCATCTGTGTCCCAAGAGTGTTGAATGGTCTTCCTTCTTCCCTTCCTTCCTTCCTTCTTTCCTTCCTTCCTTCCTTCCTTCCTTCCTTCCTTCCTTCCTTCCTTC